TTATCATGGTGGGAGCGTGTGCTGGGATGGGGAGGGGTCACGGTGGGAGGGTCATCGTGATCATGGCACAACACACTCTCTTCTGGTCTAGCTTTAGTGATGCCAGTGACACTCGCTGAAGTGTTGGGGTCCCACCTGAGGTGTACTCAGGTATGGGGGATTCCTGTCTCAGGGCCTGGCCAAAGCCATAGGGGAGCCCTGGACCCACAGACAGCATCCCTGCTGCTGGGACTTCAGGCCTGTGTGGAAGCCTCTGCCGTAGGCTGATGGGGCCCAGCCAGGCACCTGACCCCCTGCCTCTGCTTTCCCAGGTTCTCCGCGGCTCTGTGTTTTTGCAGTCCCCCTCCAGGCTGGAAGGCTGCCACACCTCCACGGATCACGACGTGGCCAACCAGAGTGACCGCCATGAGGAAGTGGAGACAGACATGACGTTCAGCAGCTGAAGACGGGATAATAACGTGGGTTTGGTTTATGATCTAACGTGGCCACTAAAATGCTGTTTAATAAGTGACATTAAAGACTACTTAGTGGCAGAAGTGCGTGGCAATGCTTAGTATAACCTCATGCCTGTGAATGCGCACAGATCTGAGGAAACACTTGCAGGACCATGGGCATGCTGGGGTGGGTTATCTCAGCAGGGCGGCACCTCTCATCTGGGTTCCCTTCTGTAGCGTCTATATTTTCTACAGCAAAGCTGAGACACGTTGGTGAGATGAGGCATTGTTTTCAAAGTTCCTGTTGGCACTTCCGTCACATCCCTGTGGCTCTGCCCTGGACCTGCTGCCCACTCAGGTCCCACTTGCCCCTGCCCTGCCCTGTCTGGCCAGTGGGCACCTGCCCAGGAGGAAGGGTCTCAGAGTTGGGGGCCTGTGTTATGCCTGAAAAGCCACTGCTGTTGGGTGAGGGCCCATGAGGCCTTTAGTTTGCTGCCGTGTCCTGAAGAGCGGGATGCTGTTCGCTCCTGGCTGGACAGAGTTCCCTCAGTGCACACCGGGGCAGTGGTGGGCTTTGGGTGTGAGGCTCCCCTGTGTCCTGAACCCCTTAACCGTGTTGCAAGAGGGGTTGTGGAGCTGTTTCTGGGTTTGCAAGTTTTGGAAAGCTACCTGACAATCTGCACTCAGGAATGCTGAGTGCTCGGCAGTCCCCATGCACGGTGATCAAACATGACGATGGGTGTCCCATGGCCTAAGGCTGTGGCAGAGACCAGAAGGCCATCTGCTCCCACAGCTCTTGAGCCCAACTCAAGGCTCCTCCTGCTGTCCTCCCTGGGTTGTCAGGGGAGACACCCATCCTCCCCCAGAGCACTGCCCGAGACAGGCAGACCACGGTGCCCGGGCTCTTGCTGCACACGCTGAGGTCAGCACAGAGGTGCCCCTGGACACCAGCATGCCCTTGGGTTTGCAGCTTGTCAAATATCAGATGAGGGCAATCCGGCCAAATGTACTCTAACACCAGTGGGCCAAGAGAACGTCCTGGGCTGACCAGATGCAGCCCTGCATCCACCATCTGCCACCACCCCCCGTATACCCCCTGCACACACCTCTGCACACACCTCCTGCACACACCCCTGCACACACCCTCTGCACACACACCCTGTAGAAACCCCTGCATACTCCCAATATACACCTCCTGCATATACTCCCTGCACAGACCCTGTGGCATCCTCTGCACACACCCCCTTTATTAACCCTTGCACACACACCCTGTATAAACCCCTGCACACATCCTATGTACACCCCCTGTACGTACTCCCTGCACAGACCCTGTGTGCATCCTCTGCACACACCTCCTGCACACACCCCAGAACAGGCCCAGCACCGTGGCTCATGGCTGACGGCGCCCTGGAGGGTCTCCCTGCGTTTACCCTGTGAGGTCCTTCCACAGAGCTTTCAGGGAAGACAGAGTTCAGCCTGTTGAGCGGGAAGACTTCAATCCCGCTCAGGACATGCACTGTGTCACTGTGTCACTGTGGCCCAGCACCTGGTGGACCCAGCCCAGAGCCCCAGGGGTGTCCCCTCCCCACCTTCCTCCTGGTGACTAGGGGCACCCAGATACCATCACTGCAGATTAGACCAGCTCGCTGGCAACGTCCCTGGTATGTCACTGCCAGGTGTGTACAGGGGTGAACCTCCCACTCAGGATCCTTTGGGTTCCGTCCGCACAGGCCACGCCCCTCTCCCACCTGCCGCGGCAAGGCCCCGCCCCTCTCCTCAGGCCCCGCCCCGCCCCGCCCGCCGGGCTCTTGGATCCACCGCGCAGGCCCCGCCCCTCTGCCAACTGCCGCTGCAAGGCCCCGCCCCTCTCCTCAGGCCCCGCGCCGCCCGCCGCGCAGGCCCCGCCCCGCCCGCCGGGCTCTTGGATCCACCGCGCAGGTCCCGCCCCTCTCCCCGCCCCGCCCATCGCGCAGGCTCCACCCCGCCCCACCGCGCAGGCGCCCTGGTGAGCGCTCCGTTTGAAACATGGCGCGGGCTGTCCCGCGGCTGGTGCTGAGTGAGGAAGCGATCCGGTCGAAGAGCGGCCTGGGGCCTCACCGCAACCTGGGTGTGCCGGCGGGCGGGCGGGCAGGGGTGCAAGCATGAGGGTGGCGGGGATGCCGAGCGGTGCCGAGCTTCCCGGGGCGGCCGCGCCTGGTTGCCTGGGCGGCGCACCGCGGGCAGGCGGGCCCCTCTGCGCAGGCGCCGCGGGCGGCCGGGACGGTCGCGGGCGGGCGGGGCGCGCGCGCCCAGGTGAGGACCCCCCACCCGTGCGCAGGTGCGGGCCCCGCGTGCCCAGGTGCGGCCCCTGCCCGCGTCCGTGTCCCGGCGTCCGGCTCCTGCCTGCCTGTCGGGTGGTTGTGGTTCCGCGACGGGGTACCTCGCTGAGAACGGGGAGCCAGCCTTGCCCTCCTGGAGCAAGGGGACCCCTCTCCTGGCTCTCCTGGGCCCACTCCGTGGTGATTGTTGGCCTCGGACTGCTTGAGGGACGTTGGTGGCCGGTTTCCTTCTTTTTGGCTTGCTTTTGCCTGGTTTTGACGTCAGGGTGAAGCTGAGTTTATAAACTGCTGACAAGTGTTGCCTGTTCTGATATTTAGAAGAGGTTTTGTAGAGTTTGTGCTAATGAGTGTGTGCTTTGATGCTTCTTGGAATTTTCCAGTGAAACCACATGGGCATGTAAATTTCTGTGTTTGAAGCTTTTAAATGACGAATTCTGTATCGGGTTGTTAGGAAACTGTTCATATTATCAGTTCACCTTGAGTCTTGGCTGTGTGTGATTTTGTGGAGCTGACTTGTCGAGGATGTGTGTAGAGTCGTTCCTGGTGTTCTGTTATTAGCCTGTTGATGTCTGTGTGTGGTCTGCAGGTGTTACTGGGCCGACAGGTTCAGTCAGGTGCTACAGGGCCACAGGCCAATACACTGAGACATGGGGTGGGGGGGTGGTTTGCAGCAGAGAAACAGTTTAATCCTGGCAGGAGCCCAGCAGGGAGGTGGAAGGAGGCCTTAATACATCTCCCCAAGGAGATCTGAGCTGGGGTTTTTTTTAAGGAACAGAATCGTGAGGGGCTGGAAAATTGGGCTTGTCAATTGTTGGCGGTAAAGGGCACGGAATCATCGGGATGATTAGATCCTGTGGAAACTGCATTGATCAAGTTCACCTGGAACATTCAATAATCTAGATCCTGTGGAAACTGCATTCATTGGTGAGTCTGTTTGTGGGGTCCTTAGACCAGCTGGCATCAGTCCCCAGGTCCTGAAAATATCTCAAATGGAAAACTTAACGTTTTATAATGTCCAAGTGACTATATACAGAGTAGTTAGGGGGAACGGTAACCTCGTGACAGAGTCTGAGCGATCCTAAGGCAGTAGGTGCCACACAGCTCTGAGGAATCCGGTGACAGGGTAGCTGACCTCGGGATGCACTGAGTCCCCCTTCTTCCCTGCTTAGTGCTACAGCATTTACAGGGATATCCCTCTTCTGTTCCTGACATTGATGATCTGTGTATTCTTTTTTAGTCTTGCTAGAGGTTTGTTAATGTTATTGATCTTTTCAAAGAACCAACTTTGGGTTTGATCAATTTTTCTCCAGTGTTTTTCTAGTTTCAAATTTCACTGATTTCTGCTTTTTATTTCCTTTTCTGCTTGCTTTGCATTTATGTTATGCTTTTTCTAGATTCTTGAGGCAAAAATGTAGATCATTGATTTGAGACTTTCTTCTTTTCTAATATAGATAGTGCCACAAATTTCCCTCTAAACACTACTTTCACTGTATTCACAAGTTTTGTTATGTTGTATTTTAATTTTCATCCAGTTCGGAATATTTTAAGAATTTCGCTTGAGACTTCCTCTTTGACCTGTGGATTTTTAAGGAGTATGTTTTTAAGGTTCCATGCGTTTGGAGATTTTCCTGTGTGATTCCATTATGGCCAGAACATAATCTGTATGATTTTAATTCTTTTAAATTTGTCAAGGTTTGCTTTACGGTCCAGCATCTGGGCTATATTCTTGAATGTTCCAGGTGCACTTGAATGTGTATTCTGTTGTTGAGTGTTATGTGAATACATAAATATCGATTAGATCCTGTTGGTTGATGGTATTGTTCAATTCTTCTGTATCTTTGCTGATTTTCTGTCTAGTAACTCAATTACTGAGAGAGGGGTCTTGAACCTTTCACTGTAATTGTAGATTTGTCTATTTCTTTTTTCACGTTATGTGTTTTGAAGCTCTGTTATTTGTTGAATTGCATATCTAGAATTTTTATATCTTAATGAACTGACCCTTTTAATATATGTAGTCTCTTTTTTTTTTTTTTTTTTTTTTTTTTTTTTTTTTTTTTTTTTTTTTTTTTTTTTTTTTTTATTTTTTGAGATGGAGTTTTGCTCCTGTTGCCCATGCTGGAGTGTAGTGGCTGGATCTCAGCTCACTGCAACCTTTGCCTCCTGAGTTCAAGCGATTTTCCTTTCTCGGCCTCCCAAGTAGCTGGGATTACAGGCATCCGCCACCATGCCTGGCTAATTTTTATATTTTTAGTAGAGTTGGAGTTTTACCATGTTGGCAAGGTTGGTCTCGAACTCCTGACCTCATGATCCAGCCACNTCTCAAACTCCTGACCTCAGGTGATCCACCCACCTCAGCCTCCCAAAGTGCTGGGATTGCAGGCGTGAGCTACCACGCCCAGCCCTTGTTCCTCATTTATTCCTGGTAATTTTCTTTGTTGAGACATCTGTCTTGTTTGATATGAGTAGCTACTGCTGTTTTCCTTTGATTGGTTCTTGCATGGCCTATCTTTTGCTATCCATTTACTTTGAACTTTTAACCTACTTGTATTTTATATTTGAAATTAGTTTCTTGGTTCATTATTTTTAGTCACTCTGCTAATCTCTGTCTTGTAGTAGTGTTTTAGGCCATTTACATTTAATCTAATTGTTAAATATTAGGACTTAAGTGTGCCATTTTATTTTTTAATTGTTTCCTGTGTTTTTTCTTCTGTTTCCCTTTTCCTGCCTCCTGTGACTTAGTCAAATATTTTTAGTATCTCATTTTGATTTATCTGTTATGTTTTGATGTATATCTCCTTGTATGGTTTTCATAGTGGTGGCTGTACAAATCACGATATGTATATGTAATTCAACACAGTTTACTTTCACAGACATTTTACCACTTCTAAGTGAAATGTCGAAACCTTACCACCATTGAGGTCTCTATCCTCTCCCCTTTACACTTTAGTTGTCTGAAGTATTTCCTCCGCATACCTTGAGAACCATATTAATCATGTGAGTTTTAAAACTACCTAGCCTTTTAAATAACTCAGGAGGAGACATATTTATCCACATGCTTACCTGCTCTGTTATTTTTTCTTCATTCCACCATGTTTCAGGTTTCTTTGGTCTTTATGTTTGAAGAACTTTCTTCAGCGATTGTCTTAGGGCAGCTCTGCTTGTGACCTGTTCTCTTAGTTTTTCTTTATAGTTTTATAGTTTTCATCTGTCATCTCCATTCTGCTATTAAACTGCTCTTGCGATTTTCTGTTATTGTATTTTTCTTTCAAATTTCTATTTTTCTTCTTTATATCTTCTGTTTCTTTGCTAAGACTATTTTTTTCTTGAATTTTTGAATTTTTTTAATAGAGACAGGGTTTCACCATGTTATCCAGGTTGGTCTGGAACTCCTGGCCTCAAGTGATCCCCCTGCTTCTGCCTCCCAAAGTGCTGGGATTACAGGTGTGAGCCACAGTGTCTGGCTGTGAGCTTCTACTTCTTTTTTTTTTTTTTTGAGACAGGGTCTCGTCTCACTTTGTTGCCCAGGCTGGAGTGCAGTGGTGCAATCTCGGCTCACTGCAGCCTCCACCTCCTGGGTTCAAATGATTCTCCTGCCTCAGCCTCCCGAGTAGCTGGGATTACAGGCATGTGCCAACATGCCCAGCTAATTTTTGTATTTTTAGTAGAGGCGGGGTCTTGCCATGTTGGCCAGACTGGTCTCAAACTCTTGGCCTCAATTGATCCACCCTCCTTGGCCTCCCAAAGTGCTGGGAATTCAGGCATGAGCCACTGCGCTTGGCAGCGAGCTTCTACCTCTTGCAGAATGCCTCTGTCACAGGAAACCTAGTCCACGAGCACTGTGACACTTCCTGAAGGCTTGAGTGGGGTGGACAGAGGAGGAGGATGTTTATTCAAAGTGACTTAAGGTTCAGCACACTGACAGAGGCAATACCCAACTCACTCTCAGTTTTGTTTGGGTCCCCTGGCAATTGAGTTTCCATATGGTCGGCTCAGAGACACCATCATATGTGGTATATTCACATAGGCAGACAAAGGAAATTCTAGAAAGCCAGAGGTGAAAAAAATCTCTCCTTTCTCAGACAATTCTGTGATGTCTATGTGGGCTAAGGGGAGAAGAACAGAAGTTTCTCTGGGCCTTGGCATCTTGGGATCCCTTCCCTCATTTTCTAAAAACGGTTTCTCACACCAGGCTAAGGAGGTGGTGGGGGAGGAGGTCTCCCTTCCCCTGCCCACTTTAGACAGTTCTAGGGAGATAGAGGCTTCACTACTTGGCCACTAGTCTCAATCGGAAGGCTCCTTTTCCTGAGGCCATGCAATGTTCTGGAACCACAGGCCCCTCAGCCCCCCATGGGAGCGCAGAGGGGCAGGCTGTGCTTGGGCTTCTCACCCACAGCCACTTTTTTGGCCCGACTCTCAGGCAAGCCCTCATCACCATCAGGGTCTATGGGCAGTCTAGACTTGCCAGCCCAGTCCTTGAACTTGGAGAGGGAGGTAGGGCTTGGAAATGCCTTGTCCCCGGGGCACCCTGTCCTTGGAGCTGAGCCCTGTGCCCACAGCTGGGTTAGTTTGCAGGCACCGCTGTGACACTCTTTGCTGGTGGGAATGGAGAGGCCTCAATGGCCTTCTTTGCCTTTTTCTTTTTGGTTCCAAGCGATACTTGGTCCCTGGTGAGCTCACCTGAGTTCTGCCTCTGGACCGTGGCCGTGCTGGTGGGGGTGGTGGCGACTACCCCACCTTCTTGGCTTGCTTTTTCAATTTCCGTTTCTTCTTTGCCTCCTTCTCCACCGTGCCAGCGCCGTGGATGGCTGACTCCTGCAGGATGTCCGACGCCGACACAGCTGCCTCCCGGCACCGCGCCACTCCTCGTTACTGTCCTCACTGCTGGAGCTGGCGGGCGGGCGCTTTCGGCGGGGTTGGGGCGACTCTTCCTTCTCACGGCCTCCAGGGACAGACGTGAAGAAAAGGTGGAAACCATCATCCTCTGAAGCGACTTTGTACCTGAGCTTTTCTTGGCCCCTTTGCTACTTCTGAGATGGTAATGAAGCTGTCCAGCAAGGCTCCCAGCTTCTTGGCTATGTGGGCTTGGAATTTGGGGTGGTCTGAAGCTCGTTGCCGTCTTGCTCATGCTCATCCACCTTAGGCCTGAGGCTGGGTTGGGAGGGTCACAACCGGTTACTTGCAGCACCTGGGTTTTCACAGAACATCTTTGGCTGCTGTGCGGCGCAAGACTATTGGGGAAAAGGCAGGAACACAGAGTCTGCTGCAATAATTGAGCTGGTGAGAAGTCTCTCCAGAGAAACACACTTTCCAGGTGGAGTCAGTAGGATTCACCGATGGACGGCTCTTGGCTTCACTGCCCCGGGTGGCCTTGCTCCAAGCCCCAGGCCGGCATTGCCACCTCGAGGCATCGCGCCAGCCCCTCTGCATTGCCGCCGCTGCTGCTGCTTTCCGAACCGCCCGTATTGCCATTGGGCGCCGCCGTCTGGAACTACCGCCGCTAAGACTATTTCTTCTTTTGTCTCAAGTGTTTGTAATTGCACACAGAAATATTTTATTACAGTCACTTTAAAGTCCTTGTTAGACTTGACTTCTGTGTCCTCTCTTGGTGATACCTGTTGATTGACTGTTCTCATTCAAATTGCCATTTTTCTGGTTCTTGGTTGTTTCTTAAATCGTACTGTGGACATGCTGGGTATGACATCATGAGACTCTGCTTCCTGTTTAAATCCGCTTACTCGAGATGACTCCTCGCTCTAGCCTGCTGGGTGTCGCCTCTGCCCGGACGGTCGTGGGGCTCCGGCTTCACCCATGGCCTCTGGCGGACTCTGCTGGCTGGGAGGGTGAAGGGCACCACGTCATTCCAGCCAGGCCAGGCCAGTAGTCAGGGTCCATTCTCACACCCAGGTGCTTGCTGCTGCACAAGGCCAGGTGGATGAAGGGTGTATGTTTGGTTGGGGGTGAGGCTTGGTTGTAGTAGGTTGTGTGTGTGTGTGTGTGTGTGTGTGAGATTTGGTTGCAATAGGGGGTGGGGGTGGGTGTGTGGTTTGGTCACAGTAGGGCTGATGTGAAGAAGGCCAGGTGGACAAGGGGTGTGTGTGTGTGCGCGCGCGTGTGCACGCGTGCGCACGTGTGTGTGTGGTTTGGTCACAGTAGGGCTGATGATGTGAACAAGGCCAGGTGGACAAGGGGTGTGTGTGTGTGTGTGTGTGTGTGTGTGTGTGTGGTTTGGTCACAGTAGGGCTGATGATGTGAACAAGGCCAGGTGGACAAGGTGTGTGTGCGTGTGCACGCGCGCGCACGTGTGTGTGTGGTTTGGTCACAGTAGGGCTGATGATGTGAACAAGGCCAGGTGGACAAGGGGTGGGGGTGTGTGTGTGTGTGTTTGTGGTTTGGTCACAGTAGGGCTGATGTGAACAAGGCCAGGTGGACGAGGGGGGTGTGTGGTGTGTGTGTGTGTGTGTGTGTGTGTGTGTGAGATTTGGTCGCAATAGGGCTGATGATGTGAAGAGAGCCTATGTGAAGGGGCCTGCAAGGCCCCTCCTGGTCCTTTGACCATTAAGAGCAGGCTGAGGGTTTTTGGTCCATTGGTGTGTCTGGGATGCTAGCTTGTGTGGCACCCAGAGTGGGACGTGTAGTAGGCCAGCATAAACAAAACCCCAGAGCCAACCCAGGGACTCAGTGCTGGGTGGTTGGCCATCTGTTCCCACCTTTCGGTCTCCCAATGCTTGTTTTGTGCATTTTCCTCCAGGGTGGTGGGTCTAATACGTGGGACGAGTAGGGTGAAATGTATCTCCTCCATCTTGCCTGGAATTGGAAGAGCTCCAACCCAATTTTAAACTTAATCAAAACATATTCTGGCCGGGCACAGTGGCTCACGCCTGTAGTCCCTGTACTTTGGGTGGTCAGGTCAGATGGATCAGTTTAGGTCAGGAGTTCAAGACCAGCCCGACCAACATGGTGAAACCTGGTCTCTACTAAAAATACAAAAATTAGCTGGATGTGGTGGCAGGCACCTGTAATCCCAGCTACTCAGGAGGCTGAGGCAGGAGAATCACTTGTACCCGGAAGGTGGAGGTTGCAGTGAGCTGAGATGAAACCACTGCACTCCAGCCTGGGCAGCAGAGTGAGACTCTGTCTCCAAAAAAACACCAAAAAACAAAAAAACATATTTTAACATTTAAATTTTCCTGGGAAAGTATTGACGTATTCAGATGTAAACTGTCTTTTTGGCTGTGGAAACTTTCATCTTGTAGTTGATGTCGGTCTAATGGCTGCTTGTGGGGTGCGTGTTGCAGAGGCAGGC